CGAAAAGAAGAAAAGTTTTTGAGCGTTTCATTGAAATTTCTTTACTTGCTGTCATGGAAACGAAGGGAGACACCTCGCAAATATTTCAGCCGCAAAACATAATGGAAAAAGAAATTTAAGTCTCTATTCGTAGTTACTGCATAACTTCTGATGGAAATTAAGTTTTCTCCTGCTCCCTTTGTGCACATTAGTTCACTCAAATGTATACTTTTCATTCCCTGAGCGTAGAAAAACAAAAATTATATTAGCTTATCCAAAAGCTTACAAAACCTTGTTTTTCCAAACTCAGACTGCGTTCAGTTTTGGATGTTTATTTTACTGGACAATGGTTGAGTGACTGAAATCTAAAATATAAAGAATCGTAATGCCAATTCAAAAACATCAGAGGTGTCCCGAAGCGTGCGAATGCAAATCTAGCACCTTAACTTACTGGTTCACTGGTAAAGGATAAGAATAAGATGATATTAACACCTTATATACTTCCCATTTTTACCTTCACGAACCTATAAGCTGATCCTATTTTTTGAAGGCACCTAGACACTTAGAGGCTTGGAGAAAAGAACATGCAACGTAATCTCTGCACACATTGAAAATAATTTATCATCATATTAAAATCTCCGAAACAAATCTATGATATCTAGAAGACTACGCTAAGCACAATATTACATCAACGACTGACAATACCATATTCAACCATTTCTACCTGAGATATCACCGTTTAAGCCTTCTTCTCCAGCTCGATAAGGTGCTTTATACCGTCGTACATCTGCTTCACAGCTTCATACTCGGTAAGACCAAGTCGAGCCTTGTTCGATATGTCATAGACACCACCTTCTGAGTCAGAGTGCTCTCCATGGATACCACGGATCTGCAAGAAAAAGAGGCTAAGTATTGGCAAATTTCAAAGAAAGTAAAATAAAGTACCTGGAGCTTGAGATCATCACAGATCTTTTTGAAATCGGGCTTGGCAGAGATCTTTGGTAAGCGAATGTGAACTGAGGCGCGAACAGTGGTTCCTAGATTTGTTGGGCAGAAAGTGAGCCATCCCAAACGGTCATCACGAGAGAATGGAGCTTGTGCTTCGATGGTTTTGACTCCTTTGATCAGGCGCTCGAGAACCTGGCAAGGTAAGCATAACATTTCACAGAGTAGATGATGATAATAAAAAATCAAGGCAAAAAACGCGAAAAATTCAACCCTACCTGTCCAACGTTGCCGCCGTTTTGCATGGAAATGATGCGAAGATGATCTTCTTCATTGCACCATACAAGGAAAGTCTTATTCTTATTATGGAAGATACCGCGCCCTTTGGGCCAGTATCTGCAGGCGTTGGCGGCCTGGAGGAATCTGAAAATCTGATTATGAAACTAAGTAACAAAGTAATCACAGTTAATACTCTCACC